CCCCCGTGTTTGGTTCGAATTCAAACTTTAGAACATGGAAAAAGTTTGAATTTGAACTCAAACTCGATGTAAATCTATGGGGGTAGAACATGGAAAATCAATTGACCCCATTTTGAAGGCTTATATGCAATTTATTGGCCATGAAAGGTGTATGGGGGTCCGGGTACTGCCCTGGAGGACAGGTGTCAATGCAAAAAAACACTAATAAAAAATACCGTTTTTAAAGGAGAACTATGGGGTCAGTGTTTTTCCCCATAGTTCTCCCTAGGGTAACGGGAGGACACAAACTAGCGTCCTCCCGTTACCCTAAGCTCAGTATACCGCAAGCTACAGCTCGCGGTATACTGAGACGCGGCAGCCGGAGCGGATCCCGACGTAGATGACGGGATCCGCCCAGCTGCGTGAGTGACAGCTGGCTCTGCCTATCTAGAGGCAGAGCCAGCTGTACCCGCCCCCTCCCCCGTCCGTTCCGCCAGTCAGCGCTGGTAGATTGGAGCGGGGAGAGGGGAATCCAGCCCCTCCCCTGTCATGGCAGAGAGCCGTGACAGGATCGAGAGGTGAGCGAACGCCGGTATGTGTTCGCTCACCTCCCTATCTACTGAGCCGACCTGTGACAGTCTCATTGTCACAGGTCGGCTAGAACTATGAGGTGAGTGGAAATCACTCATCTCATAGTTCTCCTTTAAAGGAGCAGTGATTTTAACATTGTTTAAAGTGAAACAATAACAATTAAACATTCCTTTACATATCGTGCCTCGGGGGTCCCATTAACCTGCCTGTAAAGTGGCGGATCTGTACGATGTATAGAATCTGCTGCAGCAAAACTGACATTTATATATAAATAAAAAAAGTGTGCGCTTCCCCCTCCCAAACAATACCAGACCCTTTAGGTCTGGTAGGAAAGTTAGGAGGGATCCCATTTAAAAAAAAAAAAGAAAAAAAAGCGTGGAGTTCCCCCCAAAAGCCCCTTGATCCGAGCACAGGCCTGGCAGGGCAAGAAAGGGGGCGGCAAGCGAGCCATACCAGGCCACATGCACTGGGCACTCGGAGGGTGCTTTTTCAGGGTTGCCCCTGGAAAAGCACCGTGTCCCTGTGCCGATGCTCCGGTCTGCTCGCGACGAACTCCCGCCGCAGAATGGCATTTTGACAGATGCTGGCAAAATATAAACAACTGGGCAGAGCTAGCGTTGACAGCTAGCTCCGCCCAACTGTTTACAGTTGTACTGCACCTGACAGGTGAGCCATGATCGGGTAAAGTCATTATGACTTTGCCCAATCATGGCTCTTCAGTGCACTGTGCCGTGATTGGGCAAAGTCTTGCACCTGACCTGTGGTCAGCTGCAAGGCTTTTGCCAATCAGGGATTCACATGGCACTGTACTTGTGGGGCACTCAGCGGGAGAACAGCCCGCTGATCGCCCTGATAGTTTGCATGTTCGCCAAACACACGAACTAGCGATGTTCGAGTCAAACTCTTGGTCGACTCGAACATTGAGCCTAACACTAGTCACCACTTGACTTTGTGTCCAAGCACAAAATCAATGGGCCGTTGATAAGTGATGAAGTTCTTGGGATGTATGAAGGATAGGTCACCACTTGACTTTGTGTCCAAGCACAAAATTAATGGATCATTGATAAGTGATCAAGTCCTTAAGACTGTGTGTCCGAATCTCATCCCATAATCCTTGAGACTTTGTGTACAAGTCCCAACCCACAGTCTACGCCATGGGTAGGCAACCTTGGCTCTCCTGATGTCATGAAGCTACAGAATTCATCATGCCTGTGGAGGTGTTAAAATGCCTCATAAGACGTGTAGTGTAGTTCCACCACAGCTGGAGTGCTGAGGTTGCCTAACCCCCCCCCCCCCCCAGTCTACTCTGTCAAAAACTAAAAGCAAAGTTTTGGCTTTAGATATACGATACTTTGAAGCTACATTGCAGGCAACATTCAAAAGAAGACCTTGAGATGACAGCTGGACCATCATCACTGGAGCCTGTAAGTACACAGTGCTTGGAGCCCTAAGGAACACC